CTATTGACAAATGTCAGATTTGCAAGCGTGTCGGTTGATATAGTATATTATCTACAAGTTACTCCACTTTAACCACGAGTTTGATTTGGTAAGAGCTCAGCGCAGTGGTTCGAAACGATTTAATGAAGTTCAAATCGTTCTTTTCAACATCGGTTTAGAAAGATTTCTTAAAATTTTTTCATGAAAAAATTGTTCAGCTAGAAAAAATTCAATTTTGTCAGATTTACATTTAAGAAAACCGAAAATACTTTTTCCAGTAACATTTTCGATTTTTACAAAAATAATATCTTTTAATAAAAATATCAATTTTGACAGCTATAGGTAAATGTTTATTAGCTTTCTAAAACTCGTTATTAAAAAATATTCCCATATGATATGGAGTATGCAGTTACACGTATGGTAAACGGCATTTAAGTCACGAGTTTAGTAATAAACGAGAAAGTTGAATTTGCATACCTTAGTTATTCTACGCCCTTCGACTTTTGGGTATATTTTTGCAAAAAATCACGAACACATTCACTGAGTGACGTGTGACGTGACCATCAGAAGTGACAATAGCGTAAATACCATCAGTGACGAAAATTTACCAAAAATATCCAGTCGGTCTTAAACCCATGACTCAAATACTGGAAAAATCAAACATGACAATGTGGAGACTGTGGGTAATTAAACTAATGTCTTGAAGTGTCATCTTACGCACGCTACCTCAGTGCATTATTGGGTAGGGACAAGAAAAATTTATTTTCAAAGATTCAAAGACTAGGTAAGACTGAGAGGGTATGACAGGTTTGAACAAATGTGCACCTCCAAACGTAATTGGTATCTTCAAACGGATATTAACAAATAGTTTGTGATCTGGTTAAACTATCGATTAACTCAATAGCATAGTTACTCCAGAAAAGGAAAGAGTAATAAAATATTCACGATTTATCTCTCAAAAGCTCTATTGCACTCATGACACTGATAAGCCAGTCCTATTTTTGGAATCCCTGGTTAAAATAAAGGTCTTAAGAAATTCCTATTCGTTCTGCATAGTTTACGCAGAAAGTAATGTTATGTGTTTTTTATTTTGATTTCCCCATCTAAAATTGTGTTGTGACGCTACTAATCCAGGCATTGTAACAAAAATTTAACCACAGAGTAAGAAGATGATGCACTACTCAATCAGTTTGACAGATTCGCCTTTGCTGATACAGCGTGTCCCAAATAGGTGTTGCCGTTTTGGTGAATTCAATTAACAAAATCTCAAGATTTTCAAATGGAACACCCTATATTTAAATCGTTTAAATTTTACTTACTTTTTGAGATATTCATGGTTTAAGCTAACACCCGTATAAATTCTTGTTGGAATTTAAAGCTAATTTTAAGGCAATATTAGGTATTTTTTAAATAGCAAATACATGACACTACTTTCTTTAAACATATAGTACTCCGGATATACGAATAAAACCTACTGCTAACAACATAGGGTGTCCATTAATTCGTGGAAATTAAAAAAAAATCGACTCTATACTACACACTTTAACAGATTTAATAAAACTTCAGAATTCGTATTTAAAAAAACATTTAGTAGTTAATTATCTAGCTTGATTGAAAATACCTAATAAATAACTAACTAAACAAGGTAACAAATTTGAATTAATAAATCTAAAAATATAAAACAAAAAAATATGGTGATACAGGGACATCCTGTATAAACTGAGGCGCATCTGTCAAACTGATGGAGTAGTGCATCATCTCCTTACACTGTGCTTAAATTTTCGTTGTAAATACCTCGATCAGAACATAAAAAAAACATAACCTCAATTTCTGCCTAAACTATGCAAAATTTGAATAGGAATTTCTTAGGAAAGTGACCTTTATTTCAACCAAGGATTCCAAAAATGTTGCAATATATAGGGTGTTCCATTTAAAATTACAAAGTTGATGTCGCGGGGGACACTTTTGGGACACCCTGTTTCATCGAAATTGAAATATTTTACAACTTCAGGAGAAATCCAAGAAACTTTTTTTCTCCTATGGATTTGTAGATCGTATTATTTGGCACACGGTGTACGTATAGGAAAAATAATAATCGATATTTAGTTTGCTATTTTTTCAATAACTTTAATATAATTTGTTATGAAGTTTGAAGTATTAATCGGTGACGACATCAATATTTTCTGAAAATAATTTAAGGTAACAAAAATACGAACAAGTAATAATGTTGATAAATTTGTTTATTAATGGTTTATGCATACTGGGCTTAATTTAATAGAAATAGTTAGTAATCGTACTCTTTTATTTCATCTGCTGATGATGTAGAAATTGTGGCTGTAAGATGGTATTGTATGACTCTCCCACGGCAGGATCCAGTTTTAGAATGTAAATTAAGGGATGTGATGATTAATTTTTCTGGTAAATTTGGATTTATTATTTATTTCTGTACGAGTGACGAAAAAAATTATGGATCTTCATAGTTGGTGAGGTAATTTTTAACATGAAAGGATATGGACAGCAAAAATAAACTAAAAATAAAAAGACAAACATACTGCAATATAGTACAAGAATAGAAAAATATTAGTATATGCAAATTGTTATTAAAATTGTATTGATGCATGTTCATATAGTCACTGTTTTGTCTAATAATAATAAAAAAGAATATATAAATAAATAAATATTGTTTATTGGAGACAAAAAATTATTTTATTGTTGCCTAACAGAGTTTTATTTGATTTCCTCGTTATATAAAGAAAAACATTTGGCGACGTTTTAGATTCATTTCTTTAAACAAAAGAACAAAACAATACACACAAAAAAACTTATTGAAGTGAAAATTAGTACATATATTAAAGGCAATTTCACAATAAATAAATGATTAATGAAAGATAAAATTGAACAAAAAAGTGAAGTTCTCTAAATAATAAAAATAAAGGCGAATACAAAGATAGCGATGGTTCGATAAGATTCTTATGCCAATGTTCTCAATTAAGTGTTATTAATGTGTTATAAACAAATATTGTTAATATAATTATTATCGAAGCTCAATTAATAGCGGAACGAAATATTGATGTACTAGTGATTTCATAATATCCACTCAAAAAAAGCGAAATATTTTAAGATTACAAGAAAAGGAAAATCATAGAATAAAAAATGAAATAAAGCTGAGCTCCTTCTCGAAAATATTCTCTTTCTTATGGAGCTGGTTAGGTTCTGGAAGGAACATCCAACGATTTTTACATTGGCGGGGCGGACTTCATGACCTAAAGAAAAAAAAACTAGAAATTAAAGTCCTGTTTCAACTGGGGCTTTTTGCTATTGTAATTTGGTAAATTTTGTTGGTTTCGACACGGTTTTAGAAAGAACTTATTTACGACACTCGTCGCCTTTTCGGTTAATAGAAGCCGTACAAATAACACTTTAAGAGTGCACCTGTTTCGAATTAAACGGACAAAAAAGCTCTTATGCTTCACGATATTTACCCGTCATTGTTGCTTGCATTATAGGGGTCTATAATAAGATTCTGGCGCGAGGTAATTTTATAATGGAAATATCACTTAAGTTAAAAGGTGCATTAAAATTTCAATAAATTATAAATATTTCTTCGCCGGGTCTCGTAGACTCGAGATGTAATTTACTTAAACGATCGGCGCAGTTTTATCCGAAATACTTTAAGTTCTCTCGGAATTGTGCATTCTAGACCATTCCGCCGGCTAATTCAGTTCACGGGAAAAAATGTTCCCAGCGCAATAATGCGACTTGCAAATTGATGTTACCGTTTGAGCGTTCGAAGGAAAAGAAATCGCATTAAAAAACAGCATCGACTGAGAAAATTATGACGATCATTGTTTATAAAATATGCTGTAAGGAGGTTTTTTTTTTGTTGGTTGCCCTGTCAGTCTTAGAATAATTGTTGGAAACTCTTATCGAGATATTTATTTATTTGGAATGAATATGTTACCCAGATCGAGTTACAAGGTTTGTTTTGGTTTTAAAATTAGAATCGGTTCTACACAATAATAATACAGAATTAATATTGGATAGCGTAGAACTGAATGCCCCTAAAAAATAATTGCTTAACTGTGTTAAGTAGTTCAGAAGGCAAAATGGTGCCCTTAACGTTATGGCCAGAATAAAAATAGATGAACAATACTTTTGACAAACTAAACTTATGTTTGGGTAACATGGTATGTTTCCTTTCAGTATCATATTAAACATAATTGAAAATCAACAAGTACGGTTAATTAAAATCAATAAATCATTTCGTCCATTTTGTCTTCACATGACTGCATAATGGCACTCGCATGAAGGCATAATGGACCTCAATACAAAGCATTTAATGCATGTTTGGCAAGTAAAATCTGCTTCTTTGTCTTCATCTTCAGCGCCAGCGCAGGAACAATAAGCCCACCGTTTACATGTGAGACACTGCCTTCCGTTGGCGTTTAATTCAAATAGTAACAATACAGACACCTCCAGGTTGGGGGTTAAGGCTTTACACTGGTTCTCTAATACTTGGAAAAACATAAATATACCAAAAAGCCTAAACAAGGCCTCGGAACACCGGATGGATCACTTGAACGACGAACTAAGCAACGAAAATGGACAATGAATTTTGCCACATGGAATCTTCAGGGTATAAGACAGAAAACTGATTTTATTGCGGCAGAAATCAAGGAACGAAAAATTGATTTGGCAGCCTTAACGGAAACCGAGAAAAAAGAAAAAGGTACCGGTTTTGTCGGAGACTTTGTCCATATATTTTCCGGAATGTCAAAAGAAAGAGAGCAACGAGAGGAATATCAATACTAATAAGAAAAGATTGGAGAAATAAAATAAGTAATTGGGAAGCTGTTGATGAAAACATTCTAACAGTTAACTTGAAACTATATAGCCATAACATTACGATTATCGCAGCCTATTCACCATCAGAAGATTAAAGAGCCCATATTAAACAGGAATTTTATGACAAATTAGATGAAATAATTACAAACACCGGACAAAATAGAGAAATTGTGATGATGGGTGACTTCAATGGAAGCACGGGAAAACAACAAAATAGTCCAATCGTGGGGCCGTATGTAGAAGAAACAATCAATGATAACGATGAAAGACTAATTCATCTTTGCGAGACCCAAAACCTAAAAATTAAGAATGGTTTCTTTAAACATAAAAATATCCATTGCTATACATGGACACAGAGTACTCGAAACCTTAAATCCATCATTGACTACGTGATTAGTCGACAGAAAACAAATTTGCAAATTAACGATGTGAGAGTCCTAAGAGGGAGCACCTGCGGATCAGATCACTACGTAGTGAAAGCTAAGATAAGCCTTCATTTTCGAATAACTAGAAACCTTCAGAGAGTTCTAAACAATAACGTGACATCCGCTGAGACAATTGTTACACCAAAATACAACTTTGACAGTTTTAGGGATGAGAGCATAGTATTTCTTTATCAAAGACGGTTCGACAGTAAACTCCTCAGTCCTGATGGACACACGTTTGACGAAATCTACGAGAACATAATAACGAGTCTAACAGAAGCTACACAAGAGGCAATAGGAATAAAAAAGAACAGCATCAACAAAAAACAATGGCTCAAGGAAAAAAACAAAAATATCTGAAATGGCTATCTACAAAAAATGAACAAGAAGAATATAAATACATAAAGAGGAAACTAAGAGTGCAGATTAACAAGGCAAAAAACGAATCTTGGGATAGGAAATGTGAAGAGATTAACAACTATATTGGAGGCAGAAAATGCTCAGAAGTGTGGAAATTCATATCTACTGTAAAGAATCCAGGAAAAGACAAACTAGACATTCAACTTATTAAACCCGAACAATGGTTAAAGAACTACAAAGATCTACTTCGGGAATCTAGACCAGAATATTTAACTGAATCTCCAAGACACTTCAATGTACAAGGAGAAGAAGTTGAAATACTTGAGGAAACAATAAGAAAAGCTGTTATGAATCTTAAACCAGGCAAATCTAGTGGCCCAGAAGGAATATACTCCGAAATGTTAAAATATGGAACTCACAACCTTTTCAGAAATCTGACAATTATTATTAATAAATGCTTGAATGTTCATCCCGTTCCCAAGGAATTTAAAGTGGCTTTTATCTCCTCTATTCACAAAAAAGGAAAAAAAAACTGGACTGAAATAACTATAGGGGCATTTCGGTTACAAGCACAATGAACAGACTGTACGGCAGAATTTTATGTGATCTCATTGAGGAAGACTATAAAGAGAAAGAGGAAGAAGGACAATGTGGTTGGTGTGTGGTGGTGTTTACCCTAAAACAAGTTATAGAAAAGAGAAGTGCCAGGAACTAACATTTGTTGACTTACAAAAAGCATACGACACAGTCCCAGTAATAAAGCTATGGAGGGTCTTAGAGCAATCCAACATTAATCACACCTACATAGCAGCCCTTAAAGAACTATATAGGGAATCAAAATCAAGAATAAGGGTCGGCCAATGCATTACGGAGAAGTTCATGATGAATAAAGGACTACGTCAGGGATGCTGTATTTCTCCCACCCTTTTTAAAATATATATGGCAATGGCACTAAACAAATGGAAAAGAAAGGTCCAGGGCATGGGAATAGAAATTGATGGTGGATGCTTGTTTACTCTTCAGTTTGCAGACGACCAAGTCATATTAGCCAATGATAAAGATGATGTGCAATATATGATTCGAAAACTAATAGTGGAGTATAAAGAATGGGGCTTGATAGTCAACATAGCAAAGACAAAGTATCTATGTGTGGGAACTCACTCACTCGGAAATTTGGAAACGGCAATGTCAGGAATATGAATATCTGGGCATCACATTCGACAACACTGAAACAGATGCAAAAGAAATAAAAAAACGAATAGTCAAAGCCAAAAAAGTAATAGGAGCTCTGAATGGTATCCTATGGAGCAAAGAAATATCCAAGAAGCGGAAATTTAATATCTATGAAGCAATGGTAAAAAGCACCCTTCTATATGGATCAGAGACATGGAGAATTTCCGAGAGACATAAGAAAAGGGTTGAGGCTGTCAAGATGGATGCAATTAGAAGATCAATCGTTTTAACAAATTTTTGAACCAATATCTACCGGTCATCCTTGTACTTGGGTCAAAATTATGCTGAAGGTTATTTCGTTCTGTCAAGTCGTATGACAAAGATCTCAAATCTTTTGGTGAGAGGCCAAAGAACCTGGCGTCCATATTTTTTACGCCCGCAGTAAGCCTTAGTTGCAACATTAATTATTGCTTGTTTCATTGATTCTTCGGACCATTTTTGCCTCTCGGTCTTTCTGTTATAGTTACTATCCATCTGAAAATATGAAAAGGTTTGTTTAAAAGAAGCTGTTTAAGAAAAACGGACCGGGAAGGCAAAATGGTCGGAAGAATCAATGAAAGAAGCAATAAGCCCGGTCCGTTTTGACTATTTGCTATATTCTAGAAAACGTGCCGATCTGGAGATTATTGCAACATAGAACATCTAAGAACAAATATGATAAAGTTTATAGCTAATATGTTGCCCTTTAAATCTATAATAGTATCTACGTATCTTATTATAGAGGTAAAAAGTTAAAATTATACCAAATATAGCTTACCTTGTTAAAATTTCGTAAGTCACTCTTGCCGGTTTATGGCTAACTGTCCGAAGCTTATTCTATGCAGCAAAAATTGATGTTAATAACTTTGTAGAGATGGTACAAATAGTATTCAAAGATTTTTAATGGACCCTTTAACCTGCAGGGTCTGTTATGCCTCCCTTTGTTGGAAACAGGTACAATGCGAGGCAGCTTCAGTTAAGCTATGAAGAAGCCAACAGGATTCGATATATCAGAAGATAGTTTTAAACTAATTTGTACATAAGGCACCATTTACACGCCACATCTTTTCCTTATTTTGGCGACTGCAAACACAAGTTTTTCAGTGGACGTGCATTTGTGCCACAAAACACCACAAATGTGTCAATTGCAATGATTTGACTCAAATTACGTTTCTATAAAAACAAATCAACTTTTAAGAAAAGCTTCGACAATATCGGCTCTCTGTCAGTTGTGGGGTCACGTATGAGCGAAAGGTCACTTCCAATTGTATGAAAATATCATAGCCAACTGCAGCGCATTAATTTTACCGTAGAAGGGCTACTATATTAACAATTAGGTATATGAAAAAGAAAGGTAATAGAAAAATAAACCAAAGAATACAAATGGTTCTTATTAACCTAAAATTGGAAAATTTGAATTTCAAGAAGTTACAATTTTTTTTCAAAATTAATAAAGCCTTAAAACGATTTGTAATTCGATTCAAAATTAAAAGTGCTGGAAATTATTCTTAAACCAGTTTCTGCAAAAAAAAAAACTTAGGAAAAGCACAATTTAGTACTTAGGATGGCACATAATAGTCTGTTACTTTTCTTACAGTGCCTTGGAACGTTATCCCGTTATTACTACGAATTTATATTCCCAACCCGGCTCTAATAACTACTTATTAAAAATTAGGTTTCTTTCGTCTTCGTTTCGGCGTCGATTTCACTCATAGTAAGACAATTTAAACGTTGAAAAGGTGAATTCTGGCATAGCAATCTTCCACATTTTCACTTTTTAGAAACGTCAATAATGAATAGAATATATTACTCTTTAACAATTGATAAGTTTTAGTGGAATACAAGAAATAACACAATGTCTGTGCCTCAATCAAACTCAAACTGATTGCAGTCTGGAGTTTGTGCAATTTTTTCTACTTATTTAATTTTGACAATAACATATAATTGAAAAAGGGCGCGGATATCAAAACGTAGTAATAATGTCAGCTGCAGGGTAATTTTGTGCTCTTCCAAGGTATTATGTAAAATATAATAATATAAATAAAATATTCTTGCCCCTTAAGTACTAACTACGCGTTTTATTTTGTAAATTAGTGATATACATTAATAAAATTCCGTAAAGTGGATATTTGCCAACTTTTTTCCGATTTTAAGTTCTTTATTCATATTTTAAGTTATTATTTTGTAACAGTCCTTCGTCACTTTTCGCCCAGGGATAGAGCAAAGAGCGTTAACAGAGGAAGATTTGAATTTGTGTCAGTTTCAAAATATTACTCACTGTGGTTAATATCAGAAAATTTGGCAGAACTGGGTTTTGAAAATCGAGTTGGCAATTACGCTCCTCCTATATAGCTACTAGTGACCCTAGTACGGTACAAATTTCTGTATATGAGGATGGGAATGACATTTTTCGCGCATGTCTTTAAATTTAAAACTTATTGACGGTTTGCAAGCTCCGATGTTGCTTGTTGAACGCCGCAAGATCATTGGTTTGGTTGGATGAAATCTCTCAATTTTTTTTTCATAGTTCCTCCATAAGTTCCTATATTATCTGCCTTTAAAATGCAAAAATTCGCCAATCCCTTTTTTATTTTTTCTAACCTGATTTCAAGATCACTTTTTTAAATAAGTGACACTCTGTTATAGTTATAGTAATTTTTTCTTGTCTACAAGACGGTGTACAATTTGAAATCCCGCATTTCATCTTCGCACCAACTCCTTTTTCTTTATTATTTCTCTTATAGTTACTGAGTTCCCAGTAACGAGAAGTGATACCCACTATACTTAGATCTTCCGCACATTCTTCTAAATTTCACCCATTAACCTGCACTTTGGGCAATTTTATTTCTAAACAGCTAACTCCACACACTGAACTCATTTTCCCACAACAGTTAACTAGATATAGGCATTTTTTGAGAAAATACTGATGTAAGAATGCTATATCTAAACTGAAAAGTGGCCCTAGGCAAATGAGATTTCAAATGACCGCGCAGGTACATATTAAAATACGACGGGTATTTTATATGTTCTTTATCAATTCCTGGATTAACAGCATATCCAAGGCCTCTATATATCTAGTAGCGATATGGCTCCTCCATTTCAGAAACTCGAAATTAATTTACATCAATTTCTCTGATATCTTACCTCATTGTATTTACCGGTACTCTAGCGGTTATTTAGGAAGCTCAATTACAAGGGGAATTTCTGATTTATTTTACGTTAGTTGTCAAAACCAACTGAACTAATTATATGGGTTTCAGCTAGAAAACAAGTCCGTTTAGCGGTTGTTTAGGAAGCTCAATTACTAGGCGAATTTCTGATTCATTTTGCCTACCATTGAGATTGCTTTCCTTTTTTTAGCCGTTGTAACTTACCAAACTTGAAAGAACGGTTTATGTTATCGTCGATGCGCTTTTCTTTTTAACCTTGACCCAATTGTCGTTCCGCCTGCATTCGATACACAAAAATGCATCCCACGCAGTTGCATAATTCTAATTTACCCAGTCATGCTGAGCGGCGCTTGGAATGTCTATTTTCTTTACGCCGAAGTAACTTCATTGCCGGTCGATTTTAATGTAAATCGTTATCACCTCACTACTCACGACCAGAAAATATTTATACCTGATTTTCGCATTAAATAAACGGTTGATTGATTGTTTACATTGGAAAGCGCGATACTATATAAATACCAATTTTATTTTTATAATCCGTCTAATTATCTCGAATGCTAATGCTGATCGATGTATGGGTAAGGACAATTAATCATGGTCCAACGTGTTAATATTTAGATTTGTTCTTGTTTGCATAACTGAGATTGTGTAAAATTCTCGGTTTTTGTCGACTGAAGATGTATTTAAAGCACGATAAAAATAACCCATTTATTCTTTTTGAGATCGCCAGGATACTAATCCGTTGGTTTGGAAGAATACGTTTTTTAACGACGCCGATTTTTGTTGCACTTTGAAACGAGAAATATTAATAGAAACTTGTTTTGAGATTTCAGATTTCATTGTGTATGCTCATATCAAAAAGCACGATTTACAAAAATTAATAATAAAAATAAATTTAAGTATTGGTATAACAAAGAAATCCTTTTATGGTATTATTGTTTTAAAAAATAAATTGGTAAGTTGGACGTTATCTTTTTTTAATAAAAATATTTTTCGGCGACGCGGGAACGGCATCACCAGATCATTTTAAAGAGAACAACATAATCAAAAACTTTTACATGAACGTAAAAATAAAAATAAATAAAACTCTGTTTTCAATGGAGTTTCAAAATTAAAAAAAAACCTTTTTAGTTTCAAAGATTGATTCAACTTGTTTGTTAATATTTTATACTCCTCGCCATCAGGAAAAGTACACT